CTCCCTAATTATGTCGTCTCTGCTCCCAATCTGGCGATATTAAAAAACGAGTTGACGATGCGTTGTCTCATTTGCATTTCATTTTATAACTTGTTAGCCAAGGGGCTACAAAACGCAATCAAACGGTGTCTTACCAAACTCCCAACCAATGGATTTATGGATTTATACGTTTAATACGCGAACATCTCCGCTATTCTACATAAGTCTATGGTGAGTCCACCAAATCGCTTTTCTTGTTCTCATGACGTTTTATTTTCACAATCATTTCCATCTCATGGGATTTGTTAAGCATTCCTTTTTTACCCGCAATACACCATTGTTCCGTTGGTCCACCTGTCCATGTGCTGATCCTTATTTATTTTCTGTTATGATCAGTAAACTAACATGCCGAACCTTTCTTGTATCTTGCTGGAGTCTTGTTTGCACCAGACGAAGAGTTTCGTGTTATTCTCTGATAAATTCTTGTCACTAGTTCAGCGCCGACTATTATCGGCTTGAAGGGGGGTACGTACGCTAAATCTGAGCAGCACATGTTCATTATATGTTGGTACAGCTAACCAGTATTTTCCTTTATTCAATGACGACTACGGCAAGAAAATCCCACCTGTGCATCTTAAAGTCATAGAAATCATGAATGTCAGAACCACCTTATTTCTCCCCATGGTTTAAAAGAATCAGCTTGTATACCTCCTGTTTTAATGTGTGAAAGAGTCTTAACTCATGGGCTACGCCAATTCTGGCTCATTTGAAAGCAGACGATCAGCTGCCGGAGGTCACTTACTAGTTGTTGGTGCAGACAGATGCAGAAACTTATGGTGCACCCTAGATAACACTATCGTCACGCAGGACTGTAGAACCGCTGGTGAACATTTTTGGGATAGCCTACAAGGTAGCTGCAATTATGTCACACTAAGGAGTAGATAGGTAAGAGATCTGTTCACATGACTATAACGAGTCAAACGTCGCAACATTCATGGGGGAAGCTGTGGTGGAGAAACAGTCGTCATGTGCAACGAAGTGTCAGTTCATGCCTGATGCATAAATTAGTCGTTTACTTTTCCGTGTCGAATTTTGTAACGATTGTCAAATTTCGTCTCCCTGTGTGTTTTAGGCAAAGCTACGTGTGTGCTAGCATTAGAACACATAGGGCTGATTGTCCTACAAGGCAGCTGAGCAATGAGAAATGACTCTTTACAAGTTAAGAAGCACTACTTTGGAACCGTTTTTAGGTGGTCTGGTGGGGTCGTCGGAAAAGATTAGCATTTTACCATCAAACCAAGGACTGATTGTTTGTAATGTGATAATCCTGCATTTCGCCTAATTTCATGTTACAGCTAGGCAGTATCTAATAAAGCCAAGATAAATTCCAGGAGTAGAATGGACTGATGGCGCTAAGTAACAAAATGTAACTGGATCAGCGTGTCATTCAATCTTCCTAAAATAGGGCTAGTCTCGGTGCAGAAACGCTCGATTCGGGGAGGACATTCCCTAGGTGACCCACGAATAGAAACTATATTACTGTGGCTTTCAAAGCTCACTCTCACTGATATGTTGCGGTTATTGCAGTAAAGGGCGGCCCACGATTTGGATGATGCCGAATCAAGTAAACCATACCAGTTCGCTTCGTAATCAGTGGTACCATGAGTTGAATACTCCGGGACGTTTCCGTCCCTGCGCTTAGAGAAGACTGCTCATTCCAATGGCGTAATTGGAAGCCCAACCTTGAGGCTGCCCTAGTGCAGTTAGGTTGTGTTTGAGCCATGGATGCCATGCTTGGACTATGCATTCTGCACGGGGGCGAACATATGCACTGAACGGCAATCGAAAAATAGAGATACCTGTATGTTTGAAGGCTCATTTCAATCGACCGACGTGTGAATGAGCAGATTTTGATGCTTTTTAGATTTGAAAAGCACGGTAAGAAGACGAAAACTGGTAGATGCATGCATTTCGTATTGTCTCCTCAGTACCATTAACAATAACCGGTATGCAACTATATACTTAAATATGTGTGTGACCGAATAAGCATAAGGTGAAAAATGAATGACGGAAGTTCCACACTTATGTCCACGGCAGTCTTAAGCTGATAAATAATTGCTTTTGAACACACAGGGCCGGCTTCATCCGGCTTATCGCCACCGCCTCGGCGAAACGGAGGAAGCGGGGATTAGGGTGACGTAATACAAGTGTGAACGCTGATCCGAGCTCTATCCGGTGACGCGTAGTCAGTAGGTGTTTACCTATTGAAGCTTTGTCATATGGGCTTGATTACAAAATTCCTCCTAGAAGACTGAACGGGTTATTTATAGAAGCTCAGTTTGAGAACTTTTTTGATCAATTTAAGGAGCTTCAACCATCCAGTCCTGAGAGTGTTGTTTGGTTTAGAAACAAATTGACCGACATTGCTCACGAAGTTAAGACTGTGCCAGTGGCTGAAAAATGCGCACTTACAGGCCGACACCTTCAAGCGCTACGTGAACTGCGTACTAAGAAAGTAGTTGTGATGAAACCGGATAAGGGCTCTGGAGTGGTAGTCATGAACAAGGCCGAGTACGCTGAGAAAATGAGTAGTATACTCAACGACACGAGTAAATTTGAACGACTTAATAAGATGGAGAACGTGTCCGACGTTGAAGCTAGCATAGCTGCCCATCTTGAAATGTTTCTCATTCATCGCGTGATTGATAGTGACACCTATAATTCGTTGAAGCCAAGTGGAAGCACTACTCCGCAGCTATACGGGTCACCGAAGACGCACAAGAGTGGAGTACCACTTAGGCCGATTCTATCAATGGTAAATGCGCCGCAGCATAAATTGGCTCGCTGGCTAGTGAAGATACTTTCGCCTCTACGACAACTGTCCAATCCATATAGTCTTAAAGATTCTTTTCAAATTATCGGTGACTTAGATGACATCAACCTCTCCGATAAGGTCATGTGTTCCTTGGATGTAGAATCTCTATTCACCAACGTCCCACTACAACAAACTGTTGAATACATATGTGAGCTAGCTGAGCACTCTAGTTATTCGTTACCAATTCCAGTCGAATTTCTAAAGGAATCCTTACTGCTGTGCACAGCAAATGTTGGCTTTCTCTTTCAGAACACCCCATATCGTCAAATCGATGGTGTGGCAATGGGTAGCCCACTAGGCCCTGTACTTGCCGATTTTTTCATGCTGATGACAGAAAGAGGCATATCCACAGAAATAGCCCAGTTGCCATACTATAAGCGTTATGTTGATGACATATTGGCCTTTTGTTCATCAGAGCAGCAGATTGTCCAGTTGGTGCAGCAATTCAACTGCGCACATACCAACTTGCGGGTCACCTGCGAAGTGGAACAGAAGAACTGTCTGCCATTCTTAGACATCCTCATCAGTCGCAGAGATAACGGGCTCATTAGAAGGTCTATCTACAGAAAAGCAACCTGGTCCGGCCAATACCTGCACTTCACCAGCTTCACACCAGTGCGGTACAAGCGGACCCTTGTGAAAACTTTAGTTAGTCGTGCTAGACGAATTTGCTCCGCTGATTGTCTAGCCGACGAGCTAGAGTTAATTACAACGACCCTCGTTGCAAATGGTTATCCACGTAGATTTATAGAGAGACACAGCCAACAGCGAGGCCCGAAAGACTTGGTGCATACGGCAGCCAAGAAAAAGTTCTATATCGAGTTGCCCTTCAAGGGTGACTTTACTGTATTGAAAACCACGAAACGTTTAATCTCTGCTACGCAGAGAAGTTACTGTGCTGCTCAGGTTGTGGTCATCAATAGAACCTGTAACTTGCCGGTGCCTCCAACGAAGGAAGCTCAACCGATAGGGGCCAACTCACACTGCATTTACAAATTCGTATGCGACTGCGGAGACAGTTACATAGGCAGAACCAATCGGTCTTTGACTTCCCGAATAAAGGAACACGTGCCAAGAGGGTTCAACGTGAAATTGACCAGAATCCCTGTCCCACTGAAGTTCCGTGCTTGCGCAAACCGCCAGCTTCCTCAATAGGTAAACACCTACTGACTACGCGTCACCGGATAGAGCTCGGATCAGCGTTCACACTTGTATTACGTCACCCTAATCCCCGCTTCCTCCGTTTCGCCGAGGCGGTTGCGATAAACCGGATGAAGCCGGCCCTGTGTGTTCAAAAGCAATTATTTATCAGCTTAAGACTGCCGTGGACATAGGTGTGGAACTTCCGTCATTCGTTTTTCACCTTATGCTTATTCGGTCACACACATATTTAAGTATATAGTTGCATACCGGTTATTGTTAATGGTACTGAGGAGACAATACGAAATGCATGCATCTACCAGTTTTCGTCTTCTTACCGTGCTTTTCAAATTTCTGAAGGGAACTAACTGCTTTTTAAATTGCCAGAATAACCAAAGTCATTCAGCACCAGCACGCCCAGGTCGCGTCTGACGAAAGATCGTTGCAGTATTTACATTTCTAGTCTGTAGAGGTAGGTGCTGTGATGTTCTACGGAGAGTGCCTTGCATTTACTCACTCGGAGTCGCAGTATATTTGGGTTTGACTACTGATGTATCATATCCAGTTCCCACTGAAATAGAAATTGAACGTCATTCACCTGAATACTGCACCAGCTCTTGATGTCGTTCGCAAGCAGTAGAAAGTTGAAGCGATTTCCTGTGCAAGACCAGTATTAAATACATAAACATTAGTGGGCCTAGAACCGAGCGTTGAGAAACACCAAACTCGACTTGTGTGGGGTCCGATAAAGAGCTCACTACAACTGGGAAAATCTCTAGATGGACACGTCTTCAAATAATCCAGTAAAATGGTATCATTTTACTAAGGGCCGTAGTGTCATGTATATTTACAGGTTGTTTTACAATCCTTCATTGGTCAAATCTTCCAAACAGGACATAAATCGCACTGTTTTAGTGTACAGCTTAGCGCCAGCAATCGCACTCAAACCTATCCACAGTGTCAGCCACTATCGACCGAATAACTGATGGAAATAAACAAAACTTACTAGGAAATAACACAGCCTTATCACTCAAGTCTGTGTTTGTTTGCCGAAACCACGTTGTCGAGTTGTACACACTCCAACCAAGGTTGTCGATGGCACAGCACCGTAAATAACTCTGCATATAGTCCCATGCCTTGGTCAAAACTATATTTTGCCCGTATTCCGGTAACGTTGCCTTCATGCGTCTAAGGACAAGCCACGGCATCTAAAGGAAGAGGACAAAGGAAGCGCCGTTATCGATCATTCCGCTAATTCGTTAACGCGGTGAAGTGACGTAGGTTGCGAAATGTCAAATCTTTGATTGGTCTCCTCATTCGCAACACAATACCAGCAAGAAATATGCGGAATTATGTATGCTGGTAGCCTACTAACATAGATAAGTAAAAACGGAATTGGAGTGCAAGCACGCAGTGCTGAACGATTCACCCTTACTGGTAGTGTCTCGGTGATCAGGAACAGGTTCGACTTAATGGTCAATGATATATTGTGGATAAATAGCCAAAGCTTCGAATGTTCCACAGTATAGTAAGTGAGGGTTTTCATAAAAGAAGCGACGATAAACAACGAGGCCGAAAACAATGAACTTGATGAGCAAAGGTTTTTGGCTGTATTGCCCACATGCGATTTTGCACAACTTAGAATGTCACAGCCTTTGATTTTCCAAGAAAAACAAGTGTGGTTTTTTGTGATTTGCTTTTCTGAATGTGCGTGTTCTGAGTGTGTCATCTTATGTGGTGTGACGCAACCAGCTCATTGTCAACACACTCTTTGAAATCAACTAATGAAGGGGCTGAAATAACTGGTTCTGGCGGGGAGTTCCAATTATAACAAACACGCAGCAAGCAAAGTCTCTCTATACTCCTGTCGGCTGCATTGTTTTGCCATTTTGAGACGGTCGCCTCAGTCTACTGATATGGGTGTGATATATTAGATAATAGCACGAGTGACTAGGGTTTCTGAAGGTCTGGTAAAACATGATCAATTTATCACGTAAACGTCGATAGCGTCTACTAAAAACTCCCAGCCTATCCAGTCGCTGTTCTTAGGGTATGTGGTGTAGCCATTTGACGTTGTAGTGGCCCGATTTTGTGGAATCTCCAGGACAGTAAGCTTACGCTTCTGCCATGGTTGATCGGGTTTACCGTACGATGGGTCATCGTATGATGCTTAGTGATAGATGAGGTCTGGTTGGTGCTCATCTCTTGAGCCACTCTATCTTCTTGTCTTTATGACTGTTCTAGTAACTTTGAGAAGCGTTTTGCTACCCTTTGAGGCAGTCGACGATCAATCCTGCCTACGTAATTATCACCGCATCTGCAGGTGAAATGGCAGATGATGGGAGAGGGGGAACCATACAGCGGGCTGTTCTGATGGTTGTCGAGAACAATCCTTCGTGTGGTGTGGACGATCCGTAACTGGGCGGCCGTGTAAGTGAAGGTTAGAGAGGAGCTGAGCTTGTAATTAACCTCCTTTGTAACATGCTCGCATTTCAAAGGAAGGTGTAAATAAAAATCGCTAGTCGCCACTTTTCATTGGTAAGTATATGGTGGACCTAGGTGAACTTTTTCGGGCACCTATTGCAGGGCAGGATCTGGATGAAAAACCGCTTCTTCACAAGCATTATCATGATTAATGCATTCCGGCCGCTTATTACAAATAACTGGGATATAATACTTCCATGATTAATTCAACCAGTAGTATTATTGGGAAATATCATCGCAGCCCTGTGTTTCGGATAGCTTCTAGATTGATTTGCCATCCAAACAGTGAATGATGACTCTCCTGTCCGAGGGGGTCCTTGTAGTGATCCGCAACGTAAAAAGACCACTGAACCTCGGTTAGGCGTTCATTATCGTTTTCAATTTATCATCCCGTTTCTGTTACAGCCGATACCCATGCTTGTTTTCACCCCCTCCTATTTGCTGTTTGTAGTTTCAGTTATTTATCCTCGTTATAGTACTACTCGCTTCGTTTGGGTGCTTGCTCTATGTTGTATTTTGTTTCTAAAGTGTGTGTTCAAGTAGTATCCACGAAAATACCATGCATAAGAATTTGAAATCTGTCAGGTTTCATCTGACCTTAAGAAATTCGCGGCTGTGTACCATGCATCGTACTGCACCCAATCAAGTCAAATTAAATCGAAGTGGGATTTATGCACTTGGGCAGGTGCATTTTCAGCGTGTTACACAATCACTGAGAACGGTGAAGTAGGTGAACCTACTGTTAAAGAAAAAAAGGTCTAAGCATTGTCTACCCATATCACTCGAGAAAATGTTTTCGCATCATATACTGATAGTTTCGGTTGGGTCAACCATCAAACTAGACAGGTATGATAGAACAGAATGGCGCTAAGCTGTAGTACGTGAAAACAGGACCATAATTTTGGAACTGGTAGAGGAAATGATTAGATTTTTTGTTAAGTCACACTCTAGTGGTTGAAGTCATCTAGAATTTCGAAGGAAAAGCTGTTACGAGCATCTCTATGTTTAATAAAAATGAAATCCCCAAGCGACTCTCTAGACAACCAACTGACTCTGGAAATAGACTTTATGGACCGTGCAACCAATGGGTCGTCTTTTTTGTTTAACCAGTAGAGCCAAGGCGGCAGAATGTGTACAGCCACAAGTCTAAGAGTCAAATCACAGGGTACTGAAACTATGTTAATTTGGAGGGCGTAAAATGCTAAACTCATAACCTTACAGAACGTTTCGGCAGTGTAAATAAACCAAAATAAGCTACGGCTTAAAATACCCCTAGACATTTTCTGCATAGCGTGAGTGACCTAAAAGTGTCCGCTAGAGTGACCAATATTTGTGCTTCTGGCAGTCCCAAGTGGACACTTTATGGACGACTTTTGGTCCCTCAGAATGTTTTTCCATCGCACCCCGGTTGCAATTACCATCAAGGATAAGCCAAAATCGATTGTTAAATTGCAATTACGCAATAACAGTCGTTAAGCCAGCCCAAAAATGCTTGGAGTGGCCGAAGTTCGTCTCAAATTTGTCAAAATGGGGCGGCCATGAGCACAAAAGCTGGTCACTTATGACGTTCAAACGGTCACTCACACTGAGGGAAATTACGATGTAACCAAAAGGTAAAGCCTTTGAGGCAAAGAACGGCGGTGATAAAGATGTATAATATTATTTAACAACATATCTGCACTTACCACTCCACTTAGTTACATATTTAATTTTTGCCTTTGTGTGTGTGACCTAAACCACCTTCAAATGGGATGACAGACCGTCCAGCTGTGCGAATAGGGTTAATACCTGAAGAGCTGGGTATGGACTGGTCGCTCACTACCAATGGAGAAGTGCAGTCCAAAACAAACCGTAAATTGTCAGCTCGGAGAAACGAGAATGTTACACGACGACATTTAGAAGTTTTCAACATCAAGGATCGGGATGATGACCAAAACACGAGCTCATCTAGATCATTCTGAAAAGTAGCTGTCCCAATGGTTGAAGTAATGCATCCAATGATTGCAGTAAGGATAAATGGTATGGGGTTTTTTAATGTATAAAGAAAATGGAGCGAATGAAAGGATGGCTGCCTGTAAAACACCAAGGCTAAAATATACTGCAGAATTGAATGTGTTATGCGAAGTGAATGTTAATCACTCTGCAAAAACTTATTGAAACCTGTATTTGCAACAGCTGGTTGAGCAGGATTCATCTGTCAACACCCCCGGGAATCAACTGTGTAGTCGAGAAACAGCAGACGCACTGTCCTGCATATCTCATCCATTGCAGATGCCACGGAATGCACATGATTTGGTACAGTTTCTAGTGTGGAGTGGCCATGTCTGTATGCGAACTGATACAAATCGTCTGCTTTGATGCATGCCAAAATATGAGGGGCAAGTAATTTCCAAGATATTCAACGTTACCGAAGTACATGCCACTAGACCATACTTGTGCGTCCTTCTTGGGCACAGATGTTATCCATACAAGTCGCCAAACGTTTGGCCACATAAGTACTTCAAAAGTCTCCAAAGAGCGCGACAATGGTGTTTGTCCAGCCAAGTCTTGCCGACTAAATCATTGTATCCAAGCGTTTAGATTGCTGTAACTACGTCACTTCACTAGAAAAAGACGTGCAATGCACGCTCTGTGACTGCTAGTTGCCTATTGCTTGCTGTGACGTCGTCCAGAATTTTACGAATACGTTTAACTGTATGCCTCGGGGGTAATCAGTTTTCTTTGTGACCTCTGTCAAAACTGGGAGTCATAGGCGTGTTTCGAAGGAATGATCGTACTTAACCGGTGCTCCCCACGTACCTCAACTGATTTACCCACCGCTTACACAATACCGGCAGCTGTTTCAGCGACAAATCGTGTGTGGGCTTGAGCAACACGTAGGATCCCTTTTCCCTTCAGAAGTTAAAGCAGAGCATGAGCTACAGTGCTGTGTTACAATATATTAGTGCAACAACTTAACTACGGGCTTCAACAAAGTCCAACCCGTAAAGTGTACAACTCTGTTCCACAACTGCCCTCGGCCAGCAAGCGATGCGAAATCGAAGCGTCAATCCACTGAAGCTCAACCAGTCAATTGGCTAAATTGATGGAGTTGCCTTCAGAAGCGTTTTATAACTAGGTGATAGATAATCTAACCGAGGGGTCACTAAACTATTTACACGGTGGGCGAGATAAGTGAGAGAATGACCAGCGTTGGCAGCATAATCATTATGCACGATAGCTCTGTTACGGAGAGAAAGCTTACAGCCAGCGATCAAGCCGAGAGCAGTGGCGTAGAAGCGGATCGATCTTCAACTAGAGATCGAACGCGAGTACAGATCAAAACGTGAAGCGATGTGGAAGCAGCGGCAAGTTGGGTTATGAACTTGAGCTATTTGAGTTGTATTAATTAACATCAAGTAACATCTACAATATTATCATGTTAGTAGTTGTCCACAACCTATTTATTGCGCCATGCTCTCACACAATACATCTCTCTGTCTACTTAGTTCTGGCCTTTTGTATTCCGTCGGTTGGCTGGGCGCGTGACTGATCAATCAGACAGTCGCAGTCTTAAGGGGCAGCTATCAGCAGTCCGACAGTCGTCTGGACAGAGAGCAGAGGTAAAGAAGAAGCGTTACAACAAGCTGCAAGCCAGAAAGTATATTATGAGAGAATAAACAAAGAAAACGTGGCAGGTTATATTCGCTTTACTTTTCCTAGTAGCCTCAATGAAGGTCGAGATACAGGTGATCTGAACAATAAAAGTCATTGTATCACAAACATGCTAAAATCCTGTTAACACATTGGAAAAGAGGACTACTGGTCACTAGTAGAACTACAGCTCATTACAAAATATTGTTCGTGCCCTTGTTCGAACCAATTCGACGAGGTCTACTCAGTGCTTCTCACCTCTTAGACCTAACCTGTGTGGATTATACTCTTGCTCCAGTTCTCAGTTTTGGCAAATTTGTTGCCGGGTTCTACGTGTGTAACTACATTATACTGGAGGTTTTCGGGTAAGATTTTGGTCTCATTCGGAAGAAGAAGCTGCGGACTCTTAAACTACGCCGAAGCCATCCCTGCAATTTGCAGCATAACAAAGTTACAGTCTTTTTGCTCCACTCATCAACTGAACAGCTCTAAGGACGTTTATCAGCGCTCCACCTACATCGTCGCTTAAGGCAGGCCGATCAACACAAGCTGTCGTTTTGTGTGGTTCTATGTGTTCAACTGCCAGTCGTCTGATTGCTGAACCCGACAGTCTACGATTTAAGACATCCATCGGTCTCGATCAACTGACCTTACTGTGATTAAACAAATCTCAATTCTTGAGCGTGTTTTGACTTGTTTATGCTTCACACCTGTCGCACAGCACACTCGCCAAGGTGAGCGCTTAGTTAGGCCTTTCTAGAAACGGTAAGCGGACGACTAACATTCCAATGGTTCAACATCGCCTATGTTTAGAAGCGAATTGCAATAAAGTCCATAAGATCGGGGTAACCTGTTCTAGCTGCATGAGATCGTACTGTCCGCAATGTATATGCAAATCCGTCCAAGAAGTGAGGCTGCAAAACAAAGTTGCTGACACAATTTGCTTTTGTCCAACATGTCAAGTCATTCCAGTTGCCAACTGCATATATTTGCTCATGTAAAAGTGCGATAGGCTGAATTAAATATTCGCGCATTTTGTAAATACTAAGATCGCTCCCACGGAGGAAAATATGACCACGCTAATACTTCAACCAGCCAAAGACACCTGTGACCCTAAGCAGAAGAGAGCTAAAAGCTCCAACCGCACTGCAGGGTCTGTGACTCTAAATCCACTGGGTCACCTCACTCCCATTAGTGGACAAGCCTCAAACATGCCTGCTTCCACTTCTCCAACCATAGACGCTTCACTTGGAGATTCAGACACGACAGCGACATTTCAGAGCTCAAGGCAATCCGGTGTAGAAAAGAAATAGGTAACGTACGCATAGATTGCCTCGATGAACACCTCGGGAGCGACACACGTAAGTCCATCTTCTGTACCGAGCACGCGTGGCGCAACGCAGCTTTCATTGTCAATTCCAGTGATGCCTTCTGAACAGCCCAAACTACCAGCAAACCTATAAAACCGACACTGGCTAGAGAAAACCACGCTGCGCTAACTCTCGTGTGCACCAATGTTCACGAGTCCAAATCTGGCACAGTAAAAGCCAAGTTTCAATATGATCGCAACCAGTGAAGTTTCATATGCGATGCGATTGATTTTCGTGTTGAGTCTGCAATGCTGCAACGCGTAGCGCTTCACCCGACCTCAGTGAATTCTTCTTCAAGTTGAATTCTTCGAATAACACTAAAAAGCAGATGAGACAGGGTTGCCCTGGTAGCAGCAGTTCGTATTCACAACTCACCGAGCGGAGTGGGCATATTAACAGATATCCCTTAGAACGATCGCCCAAAGCAAGCAGGTGACCAACGTGGAATTCCTAATAGTGATAGCAAGAAAACCTTTTTTGTTCATGATGTTCCCGAGCTTCTGGATTCTTCTGATCACGATGGGCAAACATATGACCGAGAACAGTGGTGCTACATCCGCGAAGCCCTCTCTGTTGATAATGTTATTGACAAATCCTTGACAAGAGTTCCGTCATCACCTAACTACAAGGGCTGCGGTCCAAGATTAACGAAACTAGTATTACACTCCAAGGGGATGACGCATGTTCTATTGGATAACTTGTCAAAGTTTCGAGCCAGGTTGTCATCAGAGATACGGCTAAAAGCAGCAAGCGCACGGCCACGAATCGTACACAATTCGATGGCACCCGAAAAAACTGTAAATTCTTTATCTGCACAGTCCTGCGGAAAGACCGGCACAACAGCGCCCAACAGGACAGAGAGCAGCACGAGTGAAACGTCTTTCAGGAAAGCTCAAGAATGCCATGCAACGACTGAAATTCATAAGCCAATGAAACATTAAAGGCCAGCCACCTAATGGTCGGCTTAAAAACAAACACAAAGTTGACATCCATCAACGCACTCCTAAGAACAAACACACTATCTCGTATGTAAACAAACGCCCAAGATCTTCTAAGTTGGCCGAACTTAGAGAATTCCATACCACACAACCGCGGGACCTCGTCATGATTACAGTGACCCGGCTAAACCTTGAGATAACCGATTCTGAGATCAATTTACCCGGTATGTCGCTGCTTGGGAAAACTGAAACTGGAAGCGGTGGTGGTGTGATTCTTTATTATAATACAAACCTCCGATGTGAAGTTATCGTTCACCCGGCAATCCGCGCTCCTTATTCGTTTTGGTGAAGTCTATGGTTGCGAAACAAGGACACATGTCTAGTAGTCGTGATTTACCGCCCACCAAACTCAACGTCAGAAATGGACTCCAAACTGAATCAGGTCTTTCAGTTTGCTTTGAACAAGCCCTACACCCACATTCATATCGCTGTAGACTTTAATGTGCACGATATGGAAATGCCAGTAACTGATGGTACGCAGCTTAAAATGCGCTTGCAATAACTAATTGCTAGCCACCCTCTACAAACACGTAATCTCTCCCACCAGCTTCGAACTGCTAACAAGCCGTCGGTACTGAGCTTGTGCTCACAAACAAAGAACTCATATGCAACGGAATAGGTACAAGCACATAATTGGGTCGCAGTGACCATGTTACTCTAGCCTTTAACTATATATGCTATGCGGAATATTCAGAAAAAGATGATAAAGTGCATGTTATCATGCACTATAGTGTTTTAGCTACGCTTGTAAAGGACACATCTTGGACCTTCTTAACGGGATGCCCCCCAGAGGTTGCCTGGGAAACGTTCACAAAGACGTTTAACACACTGCTAGCGCACGCATCGGAACAGAAGTCCCTCCAAAGTAAAAACAAGCATAGGTCATTTCTGAGGAGCAGAACACGTAAACCTATGTCCCTGAGGGACTTGGCATGGCTAGCCCACAAGGACTGCCCGAATGCCGAATCCTGGACTTCATACGTGACACATTTTAACTTCTGTGTGAAATTGCTCCCTGAGGACAAGGTCACGCATCAGCAGGAGTTAATGAGGCGATTCTGCACGAACCGCAACTCCGGTACAGGCACCTTAACGGCTGTCGAAAGGGGAGGCAGGGGAATCCAGCACTAGGCACGGCTGATGGATGCCCGAGGTCAGCAAGGGAAGCAGCCGATCTCCTACGGCTACATTACTTTTGAATTTTCCAGCAGGTAACGAGCCTAAATATTTTCCTCCTTTCTATTACTCTATCGTCCGGTTTAGACAACATCACCTTCACTGCGGAAGCTGTGTTGAAGAAGTTGTTATTCTTACGTATCCGCAGTTCACCTGGAGTGGACAACATCCGACCGAAGGCTCTGCAGGCAGTAGCTAGTTATCTTGCAGAACCACTGGCCGCTTTCTACCAGCGATGTTTAGAGGAGAATAATATTCCACCAGTATGGAAGCTAGGAATCATCACTCCTATCCATAAAGCAAGTAGCCGTACTGACCCTGTTAACTCTCGTCCAAGATCGTACCTTTCTGTGCTATCCAAAGTTATGGTATCAATCATCGCAGAGGCATTGATGCAGTAGCTGTAAAGCCACAAGTAAATAGCTCCAGAGCAACATGGTTCTCATCAAGAGCGTTCATGTTTTACTAAGCTATTAATTGCTGCACGTAATAGCTGGACTGAGGCCGTTGATGATGGAGCAGGAGCTGATGTCATCTATCTGGATTTCTTAAAGTATTTGATTGCTTAGACCATCGAATTCTTCATTAGAAGCTTCGAACGACGGTATTGGCGACCCCATTTTGACATGACATCAGTTTAGCAAGGCCTCACATCATCTATCAACTTGCATCCCCATGTTCATCGAAACACTGAGCGTTCCAACAAGCATGGTTTAATCTCTGAACACATGTTATACACCGAATATGTCTGAAGACGTCAGGTTGTGTGAACAAACGGTGTGGACGGAGTTATTTATATCGTAAAACATTGGCAATCGTAGTTATCAGCTCTGATAACCAGAAGTTCCACCAATCTGTGGGCTATGGTGCAAGCTGCTTCTGTATCCAATTTTGGTGCACCTATATCGGAGACTTCAATCGTTATACCTTTGCTGGAACATTGGTGTGGTTAGCTGTTAGCCCGCTATACTCCTATTATCCTGGTCCTTCTGTTGATTTTTGGCGCTGGAGCATAAGCCTCTGGCTCAACACAATATGCTACTGTGCTGTTACCGTTTGTTTCATTTCCGACGGTAACTCAACGTGATAATTTCTGTTCAAGAGAGACCACAAATCTGTTCAGACTACAATCTATACCATACGGTGAAAAGTCTTGAGATTCCTATTGTACACTATCCTTAAATAAATAAATAAATTCTTTATTCTCGAGCAATTAAACTTGATTTTCCTATGTGCTCACACAGATCCTTTCAGGGAAAAACTTATCGTATGGGTTGTGTAACTGCTTAAACAATTACAGTGCTCTACATGCGGCTACAAGTTAGAGGCTAACGAACAACTGTCACTGCTCGAACCATTTGAGTAGCACACAATATTACCTTATTCGTATTAAACCATATAAACTTACCGCTCTGGGAAACAGCATCAGCAAAACTCCCACAATAAAAATGATAATACAAAGAATGCAGAATCCGACTGCAGCCTAAAACAAAGACAATCACTTCTCATGTATGGCAATAAAGGTACGATGATAGATGTAAAACGATTTTCATGTGTAAAGTCATAGAACCCGATGAATCCAACCAGTATTGTGAACACGCCACAGCCGAGTAATGCGTACAATGATCCGTAAAAGACGTATTGTCCGAAAACTTCGGCGATGTATTCATACAAGTACAGCACGTAACCAGTTGTGGAACTGAGAGCTGCTCCGAGAAGCTGCACGATTTTGCAGATAAAATCCAACTTTAATCGGTACTCACTACTAAGCAAAGACAAAGTAAGTTGCCAGCTATCCGGACCATATTTCTTGCGGTACACAGCTTGGGAGCATACATCGTTCAACAACGTAACTTTCAGACCCTGAAAAAGATCGGTAGTCGAGATGGTGTTTAAACAAATGCTAGAATGAAGTCTACAATAAGAACTAAAAAGAAGCCGTCCGTTGAAACCCCTTTCATAACATGGTTGCTATTTTATATGTCGATATGTGTCACGAGTTGTGCTTCAAGTAGGCTTGTGGGTTCGAGAGAATGTATATCCGACACTTACAGCAATCAAATATAACAAGATTGATACAGTATCATGGGCAATAACTTTCGCAGCCAAATCTAGGGTCAAAAAGTTTAACCTAGTGTTTTGTATCCTTGTCTTATGGGAGCTTGTGTATACCACTCTAACCGCTAGTCAATCAATCCGAGGCATTTGTCTGCTCGTTGGTAATGAAATGCAAAATTCTAATGAACATGGTTGCAACGTATATGAGGTGGCGCTGATAAGTTCCTGGTTTTGACCAGATAAAAGTGAACTAAAGTCATGAAATGACATCTATATTTAGCATATCCACCCCTGAGACTGATGCCCTTGGTACGGCGAATCCGCAGTTTTATAGACTAGTCAGATAAAATTCATTTGGTTGTGCCTCAAACGAGCTGTCAGCAGCAAAGACTCCTTTGGAGTTGTCTTCAAGTGGTCGATTCTGCAAAAGCTTATTTAAGTTCGGGAATAGAAAGTAGTCTGACGGAGCTAGATCAGGTAAGCGAGGAGCGACGGTGGGCCAAATGTAATCCAGGAGTGTTCATTTTCGCAGCCATAACCACGGACTTGAATGTTAGAGGATTGTCATGCAATCAAACTATTTAGTTGGCAAGCTTTCCTAAGCATTTGATCTTAATTGACTCGCTCCATTGATCCAGAATGTTAGCATACTACCGTCTGGTGAAAGCGTGCAGCCGAAGGTATTCCACTCACAGAACATAACCATTGTAACAGAAAACGTAAACTATGACCAATTTAGCTGATTTCTGGGTGCTGAACTTCATCTACAACGGCGACTACTTGTGGCTTCATTCCTTGGATTGTTTTTGGTTTTGGTGTCATAGAGTAAACTTTCAAACGCAGTCACTAATCTCATCACAAATTCTTGTACAGCTTCAACATAATACAAACATATTCCGATAATCCAAGTCCGTTCTGCTTACGATCACTGGTCAAACATTTCCGCACCTTGGTTGCTGAACGTTTACTCCTGTCTAGCATAATAGAGTTAACAAATCTACCTCATGCCTATGAGATGTCCAGCATCTGGGAAATCATTTTAGTGCATATTCGCTGGTCCTGCCTAGTCAACACATTGACAACATTGGTGGCTGATGGGTCGGTTGAGGTTTGGTGACTCCCTATGTTGGGCTTAACCTGAATGTCAAAATGACGTACCTTGAAGCGAGATGTCCAGGCGTTTGTGGTGCTTTAGGAAACGCAATTCTCCCCCAGTGATCGTGACGTCTCACTGAGAATAAAGTTCGCTGATATTTGCTTGAGAAACAGAGATTTGATGTCTGCCCGTAAAGGAAATAAGGGGAAAGTTGCTTCTGCCTATACCACAATAGCTTCTACGCAAAATACCGAGTTGTTCCAAGCACGAAGGCATGATATTTGCGTAATTACGAAATAAGATATTGAGGTCTCAATTCTGTTACATGCTCTCTTATTTTGTAGGGAAAGATGCAAAGCCAAGAACCTACCAGCGCCCGCTCGTACATAGTGAGGTCCAGGAATACTTCTTCAGTGAATTTGTTTTCACCTGTTTGAATAAGTTTACAAATTAAGGAATTACGCAACCTAAAAGTGCCTTTCGTTGTCCGTATTGTTGTTGATATAGACCAAATCCGTAGTTTAGTCTAGCGCATTGATGCTGTCACATTTGGTCTTTAATAGCCGCTGTATGACACACTTTTGTGACAGTTATACAAGTTAATACCACGGGTTATTAAATAGTGCTCTGGTTGGTTCAGTTGCTTTCCCCAAAATTTTTCCTTCAAAGGCAGCCATTCACATAAACTTAATGGTTTACTTTAAAAAATCTTTGGTCTGGCTGCGTTTTCACTATTTTATGCAACGCCGCTCAGTAGTAACTAATCTTTTGCGTCCTGTGACTTCGATACAGTAGTTACACGCATTGTAAAATTCAGTCAGTGATTTAGCAGGAGGTATAAAAGTATTTGCTATTATAATAATCAAACCATCGTTCATAAAATTATATTTTATTTTTCCTCAATCCTTAACTTTCACCTTACCGATAATTGGGTTAAAAAAGAGCTTATTTCGGGCTAGACTAATCCATAAGAACTTAGAAAAGTGACAGCTTTGAAGTGTGTTCACTTAAGGCATAGTTATGCCTAGTTGTTTTTTGATGTGTGAACTTAGTAGATGTGAAACCGGTACAAGTCTAGGAAAGACTCGGTTGATTCACAAACTTAGCTTCACCTGAGACAGAGCCTGTATTTAAGAGCAAGTAGAAAGGTTTCTGTACAACTCTATCGAATTATGAAAAAGTAAAACATTTATTGCGAATCGTTAGCAGTAGTGTTTGCTCAGTTAATCGTTTATTCTTGTTCAGTTAGGAATTCGTATTAGTGTCATTATTTTCGGGTATAGCATGTATCCATTTGTGTTGTATGTGCACCATTCCACAAAAGCACAGATTTCCGAAGTAATCGGTGACAGGATAGTGTGTAGAGTTCGAGCCCTTCACCAGGTTTTTCATCCGGAAGCTTTCGTAGACTGGAAATCATTCTAGTTGTGTGGTCCTATATTTTCTCCAGCTTCTCAATTTCCCACTGGGTTATCGGATAGTAACCTGGGACGCCATATACAGGGATTGGTCTAATGAGCGAGGTGAACAGGGGAGAGACTGTTTCTTAGGACCATGTGGAAATACTGCGTTGTAATGCCAGAACATATGAAGTCCCGCACGGTACAAGTTCTCTGTACATTCAAGTGATCTC